TATATACACTAGAATGTTCTGGCAAAGTGTTGCTATGTTCAATGTTCATTCGTGTTACCCCAAACAAATAAATAAATAAATAAATACACATTAAGGATTATCCCTTGCAGTCCGAGAGCAATCGCCCCTGATATATATATATATATATATATATATATATACACTAGAATGTTCTGGCAAAGTGTTGCTATGTTCAATGTTCATTCGTGTTACCCCAAACAAATAAATAAATAAATAAATACACATTAAGGATTTAAGTTCTGTATTGATAGCAAACGTTTTGCTGTTGACCACAAAAAAAAAATCAAGGTCCAGTTTTTGAATAATAAAGGGATAGAAATTTAACAAATGTTTTAATCTGATTTTTCGATGAATTTAAAAAATGAATTGATTTTTGAAGAACCCTTTGTCGTTGTAGCTCTAAAATGGAAACCTAAACATAGATGCACTATGCTTGCCCGATATTCTGGTAGTGACGCTCAAAAATTGAAGTATCATAGATCTAATTTTTTTGTTTTTGTTCAGACACATGTATTTCTATTTTGTGTGGAGTGAATTTTCTTATATCGTTACCTCGTGAAACAATTTTGACCATTAACACTTTAGGCTTCATTGGACCTGTCATGGATGAGGAAATGCAACCTCAGAAACCCTCTCAGATGACGTGTTTATGAGCTCGGGTTGGGTCAGGCACTACGGAAAGCTCCTTTGTACATTTTATTGTACAACTAATATTGACATATGGTCCAAACCAGCTAAATTGGACCCACTCTTTATCCTGTGAAAGGGATCTGAGTGGATAACAGGGTCCAATGCGGTATTTTTGTTTCGATTACCTCAGCAACCATTTATTAATCCCACCATGTTGCACTGCATAACCAGATTTAATGAGAAACTTTGTGTCTGCCGATATTGGTCAATGTTAACTGTGCATTTCTGTTGATAACCTCATAACTGGCTGACAGTTGTTAATTTGCCATTGAAATAGATCAACTGCCTTCATTTTTGGCGTCTATAAATTGTTTATTTGCCCTCCTGCAAAGTACTAACAACACATTCTTCTCTTACCCCCCCCTCCCATTTTTGTTGCTCATCCTCCTCCTTATCATCATCATCATCAGTGACTAAAAGACGCAAGGCCCATCTGAAGAGGCTTGACCGTCGATGGACTCTTGGGGGTATTGTGAACCGCCAACAGAGCAGAGGTGAATCTTCCGACACAGCTGACCAACCGCATCCAAATGGCATCGACAATCATTCACACCAGAACACAATTTAGAGTCTTGACTGAGAATTACATGCATGCACGGTGAGAACATGCAAACATCATACAACCAGAACTCGAGGCAGACATGCTAATTTACTAGTAGAGAAGATGCACGTTTAGTGAGGTTGAGCTTCAGGTTTGCTTCCATCACTGGCAGGATGGTGGCAAGGCAAGGCAGCTTTATTGATCTCGCACTTTTCATACACAAGGCAACTCAATGTGCTTCACACAACCAAAGGCGCAACAACTAGAAGAATTTACAAATAAAACAGCTCGAGATTTACTAAAAGCCCGTAGAGTGAAATTAATTCAAAAATGCTTAAAAGTCCTTCATCAAAGTCATGGGGAAAGAAAAGCATAGTTTTGAATCACGATTTAAAAGCATTTACACTTGGCGCTGGCTTCTCTTCTGTTGGCAGTTTATTCTGTTTGCATGCAACAGAACAGCAAAATGATGTGATTTGAGATTATTTTTCTGATGAATTTCCTCAATACATTGCGTAGTTTATGAAGAAAATATATACCCTCTTCTAACACAATAATCCAACAAATGGGGTAAAAAAATTAAATGAACAAACAAAAAAAAAAAGTCAATGATAATAAATAATCTCTGGATTAGTTTATCCTGAAGTGTGGGCAAGTCATGTTCTTTCACACCAAACTATATCTCGATTTGGGTATTGTTGGGCCTTCACTAAAACAGTGGCATTAATTTGGGATCATAGAAGACTCAAACATGTTTTGCTAGCATAAAAAAAACGATCCAGGAAGAGTTCACCGTACTCCAGATTGAGAAAATTGTGATTCCTCTTATTCACATCAATACCATCTTGCTGTCTTGGGAGTTTTGTTGTTCGAGAGCCCTACATACATGGCAATGGCGAGTGATGAAAAAAGCGGAAGGGGCGTGGCCTGGACGGGGGCGTGGTTACTTACAAAAGTGGCACTAAACATGCTGAAGATGAAGTGTATTAAATTTACACACCGTTTGAAAATTGAACAGAAAAAAATCCCAAGATCGCCACTATTCTTTCAAGTGAAAATTTGTGCAATTTTGCCTATGCATTCCTGGTGAGCACCAATATGTAACTCCAAATTTGCTGCTCAAAATCAAAACTAAAAAAGTAAACACATTCCCTGCCATATTTAAGATTTGTTCATGACTTGTATTCATAAAGTGTTGTGTAAATGTGATAAAAAGCTGTTGATTCTTACCTCATACAGTGATAGTGAATATTTATTATGCATACAATTTATTATGCATAACCGTGCATTATTAATCAAGACAAAACGTGAATTATCAATATGAATATAAAACGCAAATAAAAACAAATAAATGTTATCATGCTGTTGCTACAAATGCATACCAAATAAAATTGAAAATATCATCCTCGTATATTTGAATAAAAAAATATATACCTCGGAGTGTACCTGTCTATCGGCGAGGGGCGTCAGTGGAGCAGATTTCGTTGCTTGGTTCAGCCAAAGTAAGTACCCCAGCGCGTAACGTCTTTAGTTGTATCCGCTGACGAAGTTTGTTTGAAAAATGCCGATCCCAAAGAATAATTGCTCCGTCGAATGGCGATTTTGTCGGCATGTTTTTTCACTTTTGTTGCATGATCTGTCAGTGCCACGCATCCACGGGAGCCATAGTTAATTAAGTCACTACAATACACACAATAAGCTTTGCCTGCTACGTCTGGTTTCTTCAAAAATTGTCCAAGAGCTTCTGTAACTTCGTCGAACTTGGAACCAATTTTAACCTTTACAGTGACTTTTCTGTCAAGCCAGTCCAATCGGAATTTATTCTTGACATTTGAGTCAGTTTTTAGGATTGAAGACTCCTGATCTTTCGTCAAAATTTTCATAATTCCGCTCAAAACGATCCCAGAACAATGAATTTGCGAGACGAACAGGCCGCCATGAATCAGGTAAAACAATATGTTACATGCAATTTGATTGGTCCAATCGCTTGTAGTTAACCAATCGCTGGGCCGTTTATAATCGAGCTAAGACTTCCGCAACAAATAATGCCTTCAGTGATCTGATTAGTTGAAGCTTTCATACACGTCCAATCGCAGGGCTGTTTACAAACGGAAAACGGAGAGACTGTTCGGGAGAGCTCGTGAAAACTCGACGATAAGGTACCTGACCGCCCCTAAAATTTTCTCAACGGATTTAGACGATTCACAAAAATGATCAATTTAAGAAATAAAACGGCGGATTTCCGCGGATCCGCGGAAAGTTGCCATGTATGGCCCTATGTCTGGTGATGGTGATGAGTTCAGACCATTAACCTCTGAAACACATTGTCCGCTCCCTGTGGGATTGAGGTCACATATGGTCAATTCGTCTTCCTGATGTGAGATACAAGTCGCATGGGTTCAAGAGTGAATTTGTGCTATGATGCCTGGAAAGGAATGGCTGCATTGCGGCTGTCGTGGAAAACATACCACTCAAGATTTACAAATGGGCTACAAGCAATTTGTTCGTGGAAGAAAACAGTTGTGGTCTCCAAGAACCACCAATGCTTGTTTTTTCATACAAGACAAATTTCATTTCATTGTACAACTAGGACAAGAAATAGAAACATTGACAATAAAACAAGGGGCCACCCCACATGAAACTGCTCCCAATTGCCTTGTGCAACACAGCCAGGACAGGACAGGCTTTGACCTTTCGTGGCATCTTGATTTGCGACTGATGTCCAAGTGACCTTGTTGTATATTCAAGGTTTCGAGGTGCAATGAGAGCCAGCTTGTCTGTATTTGGCAGGCAGCTTTGTATTATCACAGCGAGCTATTACTGACAGCAGGTCCCTAATCAGATTTACAGAATCCCTCTGAGCATTCACTCAGCTCTCTCTGTTGCTCTGTATCGATGACCGCATGTGTGGTGTTTAGTCCTTATCTTAGTCAAGTTGCAGATGACTTTCATATTCATGGTGATTGGCCTAAAGAATAGTCTTTAAAAACAATACTACTAGTGATAATAAATGCTCCATCGCGCTCTGCGGCAATATTTCATGGTTTGTTGACTGGCACATACTGTAATGCGGTTCCACAGTTTCATTAAAACTAGTTTTTAAGGAATCATTGTAACCAACACAATTCAAAACAATGCCTCTCAACCTCACCATTAGAGAAGGAAATTATCAACTTTCATCCCCTAAAATTAAATACAGATTCCCACACAAACAAAAAAGCACAATTAAAATAAGCACGCTTACATATTGACTTTGTTGGTGCAGCAGCTTTGTCATTTATTATTATACGTCCATCTGCAGTTACTGCCTCCACCTGCATTATTCTCATCTACTTGCTTCAGTTTGAGAACCGGCTTTATGGGCAGAGTTGAATCTTCTCCACATTATTGAACTGGACTGCATGGAAGTATCGTGTAGATGAGGAATAGCAACCTCTTTTACTTTACATCCCTTATTCAAGAAAAAACGTCCTTCAGACATGACTCCTCTATCCAAATCTCTTTCCATCAGCCATCTCAGAAAAACGAATGGTCCCACCTGTCAAGTAAATATAAAAAAGGCTGCTGTAACTCACCAGGTTCTTCATTTTTACATCACTCCTCGGATTACTGTTATTTACCACTTAAGTCATTGCATTGCAAATTTAAAAGGATGTTTCTCTGCTGCCTATCATTATAATTGATTTTATCCACGGTAAACATCCAATGTCCTGTTTACCAATCTGCCCACCCTTTTTGGAAGTCCCAATCTATCCCACTTTGGCCTCTTCCTCTGCTGCTTGCTTTCACCATCAAGTACTATAAGCAGAAAATCAACACTCTATTAATCTTTAATAAATTAAAAACACAGTAAAAAGAAAAAAAAACAAGTGTAGAATTGCGGCCCAACACATATTGGTTGTCTGATGGCGGACGTTTCTTTTCTTAACATCTAATAAATATTAACTTTGATGAATGCTGCATTGGGGTCCAGCTAGCTCTCGATTACCAGACACAGCCATGATTACTGGGAAAGGGACTATTTGTTATCTTGAAGGACAAAAGTGAGGGGATTGCCACTTGTTACATAACTGTGTGGTGATGTAGAAATGAAACATAGTCAACATCCGTGCCTCTTTTGATCTGACCCAGGGGTGTCAAACTCATTTTTGCCGTGGAACACATTGGTTTTCCGGGTTCCCTGAGTGGGTCTTTATGACTGTGAATTTTGTGAAACCGAATAAATGTTTAATCACCTCCACATATTACATATACAGTGCACCACAAATAGGTGGATAACTAATTTTGAAATCAGAAGTCAAGAATAATGTTTAGCTCAGCCATGGTTTATGTTAATGTAAAAAGTACGTCATGAGATAATGCTTGCAATATCTCTATGTAATGATGGATTACATATGACAATTTGAAATTTTGGTTCAGACTTTGGCAAGCATCATGGAAAAGTTGACATGCTTGATTTGTTCTTGCGGGCCACAAAAAATGATATAGCAGGCCAGATCTGGCCCCCGAGCCTTGAGTTTGACACCTGTGATCTAACCAGATATACTATTAAATACAAAATTTAATTTCACTTTTTTTTCACTCTTCTTCCTCAACACTTACTTCCCTACAGAGGAGAAATATGTAACAATACAGCCATATACCAGTCAAGGGAAGGATGAAGTCAGCTTTGAGAAAGGGGTTACCGTGGAAGTTATTCAAAAGAATCTAGAAGGCTGGTGGTACATCAGGTGAGTGACACCTTGCAATTTAAGTAAAATGTTAACACATATGCATTTCCATTAAGAATTTGTGTGCTTATGTTCAGTACAGTCGAACCTCGTTACAACGTACCTCGAGGGACATAACGAATCTGTATGTTATAACGGTAGTTCGTTGTAACAATTTCCAATAAAATGGCCGCCAGCCACGATGTCTAATACAAAATGAACATTTATAGATGTACAAACATGAACATGTAATACAGTCTAAACATGTCAATTACAAGTATGTGTATAGAGTATGAAGAAAACATTCAGTCAGCAAATGAAAAGTACCTTCTTCAGTTCCGGATGTAAGTTTAAGTTGGCCTTGAAAGCTGCCATTTTGTTGCCAATACGGACGATTGTCTAAATAATTGACTTCGCCAATTTGTAGTCTCGGCTGAGCTTCGTCTGGGAGACTCCTTTTCAAAAGTGAGAGACAATTTCAGCCTTCATAGACAGCGAAATTTGCTTAATGTCAGACTTGTTGATTTTATTATTATTATTTTGCTTTAAGTAGTATCGGTGGCTTCACGTACACTCGATACTTTGAAGTAAGGCGGGTATCGACCCTTGCACATCCCAACCAAAAATGTTTGTAACTGTCAGTCGAGATTTGGCACCATCTTGTGGCATCTACAGTTGTTTCCGTAAGTCTTTTAGCGAATAGATGAATTTATGAGCAATGACTCGTGAACAGGAGAGCGCTGTCCTTTTCTTACAATGACAATAAAAATTCTAATCATTCTCAGTGGATGACACAACACGAGATGGCTGTGGTGACATTTTCATGTTTGCATGTCTTGTCAGTGCCCAGTTAGAGCTAAGATCGGTCCTAAAAATTCGAGCCTGACCCGACCGGGCCCGAGGGTATTTAAGCCCGACCCGGCCCGAGCCCGATCACTTAACTTGATTTGCAGGCCCGAGCCCGAAGCAAACCCGACATTTCATATTTTATTTGTGAGGACTTGGGAGGAGGACGGGTGATTTCTGATAACAAAGCCTGTCTTTTGTAACGAAATCTAAGTTAAACAAGACTGTATAAACAGTTACATCTTTTATATTTCTGTTTCTGAAGAGGTTAGTTACATAACCGACAATTTTTCATCATTGACGGATTTTTTTTAAGAGTGGACGGGGAAAATTTAAGGCCGCCCGTGATTTTGACGGGTTGAAAATTGAGCCGTAAACCACAGCAGCAGTACGTCCGTAAGAATCTAGTGCGGCACTTTGAGAGAGAAGCAGAGAGACAAAGATGAACAATGACGGGTGGATACTTGACAGAGACTGGAAGGAGTTCTTTGAATTGTCATTGCAAGAGTTTAGTACAGTACATGTTGTGATGAGGCGACTTCTGTTTCTTTTTTGCGAACCACGGTCTCTGTTGTCCAAAACTATTCACGGCCTCGAAACGAAAAAAAAAAGTCAGTGAGAGAGAAGCCCGACCCAACCCGAACCCGAAGCAATGATTGACATTTTAGGCCCGATCTTACCTCTATGCCCAGTCGGTTGCGTGTTTCCAGTTCATTGATCTTACTGAGCAGTGATTCTCAGAACAAAATCATTTCTAATAAAACAATTTGTGCTTATTGACAGTATCATGCTAAGGATGCTTTTCGATATATGATGCATGCTTTATGCTGTATAGTATGCACAGAAACATGATAAATGAAGGGGGCTTTTTTGTGTAATTATTGCTACGTGGCCCTTTTTCCCACACTAAAGTTCTCCCTTTGCCCTCAGATATTTGGGGAAAGAAGGATGGGCCCCTGCTTCCTACTTGAAAAAGTTAAAAGAAGACTTCTCCCCTCGTAAGAAGACGCTGTCGGGTCCTGTGGAAATCATTGGCAACATCATGGAGATCAGCAGTCTTTTACAAAAGAAATCAGTCAGCGAAAAGGACATCCAGACAGACGGCGATGGTAGCACCACACCAGAGCGTCACATCTCCAAGAGCGAGATCAGCTTGCCTATGCCCTTTAGCTCTGAGATCAATGCTGAGACAGGCAGGAGGTTGAGCGCAGGCCGTGATACTAACAGTCCTTGCCTGGGAATAGCAGCAGCGAGCTCTGCCCGGAATGAAGCCAAAGTGAGAGGTGAACCAAGTTCCCCGGCCGTTGCCAGAGTAGCACCACACAGAGTTGAAATCGGTGAGTTTGTGGGATGGCATTTTCACCAATAAACCCTTGAATGTGTGGCAATTCATGGAGTGTAGATTGTATTTGTGAATATGAGCATTTATCTTAAATGAAGCCATTTTCCTTCTGTATAGGCTTTGACTCCATTGGTAAGCTACATTGGTTCTCTGCAGAATGAAAACCTAACCTATGAGAATATAACATGGCTTTGCTGTTTGGATTTCCATTGTGCTCACCTACTAAAAAAAAACAACAAAAAACATTGCTGTTAATTGTTTGCATCTCGAGTGAATGTTTTTTTTGAACTTGTCATCATTTTTATAGTTATGACTGTTTTTTTTTTTCTTTTTTGTTTAGGGTCTCCTAATCTGAGACAAAAACCTCCTCCAAGAAGAGAGATCAATTTGGTAAGACATTTCACAAGCTCACTTTTCTGCAAGGTAGCGTTGTAATTGCATGTACTGTACTAGCTAGCATGTCTGCCCCACAGTCTGTGTTCCAATTTTGGTTTGGTCCTTGTGGTGTGGAGTTTTTATATTTACCCCAGGTCCCCAGGTTTACAGTTTGTGCTGTAGGGTTTCTTTAACTCATTCAATCCCCATGATTTATACGTCTTGGAAACGTACTTCTTTTTTTTTTGTTCTTTTTTGCGCCATAGTGTGCAGAAGGGTCTGAGGCAGCTTCTGACTAAGGATTTGAGGTGTCTGCATTATAAATCATTTAAAATCTGCCCAGCAGGTGGCAGTGTGTGTTAAGGGATCAGCTAGGATCACGATACAGGACAAGTACAAGTAGAGGTGGAGGGATGCATGGGAGGAGTTGTGGAGTAGGTAGTTAGTAGGGAGTGCATTCGAACCAGTAGCGATGGAGAGATCAAAACAATTAACCCGTGAGGATTGCTTTTGGGGAAGAAAATCTTCCACCATGACTAGGCAGAGGAGTTTCGCAAAGCAGCAGGATACTTTCGTCTGCTCAAAAATAAGAAGCAGCCATCGAAAGAGGCTCCCGTGTGCATGAACATCTGCCTCAAAAGCCCTTTTGTGGTGTTGTTTTGTAGAAGGAAAGTCTTATGTAGATGTTTGAGATGTCACCAAAGTAAAAAAATAGTGGTGCCACACTTGAAATTTATGCTTGAAATGCATGCTTTTACAAAAAGGTCTTTTTCTGCATTTTTTTTCCCCTCAAAAACTGGAAATCAGATAACATTTAGCTATTTTCTAATGCTGATTGCTAAAGAACGGAAAACAATCAATCTTGTTTTTCCAGCTGAAAGAAGAAAGTCTCATCTTTCTTTTCATAGGATGAATGTTTATATTGCAATAGAACACAATAAGCTGGGGGCCAAATCAGTCAAAATCCAGTCAAACGGCTGGGTGGGTTTGAGGCCTTTGCTCCAGTGAAAATGGCTGCGATTGAATGAGTTAAGTACCACCATATAGAAATACAAACGTTTTATTTTAATTGAAGGGCAGTACTCACAGGTGTGTACCCACAGGTGTGAATCTGAATGTGAACAATCGCTTGTCTATATATGCTAAGATATATGTATACACACACACACACACACACACACACACACACACATATATATATATATACACCTGTATACATACACACACACACACACACACACACACACACACACACACACACACACACACACTCATACACACACATAACAGAGTGCTGTAAAGCATCAGAACAGTGTTCCATGGGCTCTCAACTGTACAATAGCTACAACAATTGCATCAAGTCTTTCTTAATCTAAATATTTAAATGTTTTGGAATTTATCTTCTTTTTTGTCAATTGATTCCCTCTGAATGCATGATCAAACAAGATATACTGTATCATGTTGTTATCTCTGCCTTCTTTGCTTTTAAGGGTTTGCAGTTGCCTAAGCCACCAGAGCCACCTGCTGTGGAAGCAGAATATTACACCATTGCAGATTTCCAGTCCTCCATTTCCGATGGCATCAGCTTCCATGGAGGACAAAAGGCTGATGTGAGAAGCCATGAACACATCACTTATCACGGAAATGTTCAGCCAGTGCTCACTGATTACGGATGATCACTCGACGTCACACTGATGGACAGAGTAGTTGAATCAATAGCAATGCCACTTGTGTGTGTGTGTGTGTGTGTGTGTGTGTGTGTGTGTGTGTGTGTGTGTGTGTGTGTGTGTGTGTGTGTGTGTGTGTGTTTTCTTTTGGAGTGAGGGGGTGGGGGTGGTGTTGCAGCAGATAAAAATTGATATCCCGGGACTTGTCTTAAGAGATGATTTCTTCAATTCAGCCAGGGTGTCTAAAAACTGATAAATGTGAACACATTTAACTAATTTAAACAAACACAACTATTTTAAGCGGGAAACTGCCTCTTATTCTTACATGCATACAGCATAATACAGAAGTATTTCAAATATGCAAAACATAGCAAAATGTAGCGTCGGTCAAGTGCTCATGCTGGCACCTCGCTCTTCGGGCATGACCAATCAACAAAAGAAGCTTGACGCAAGTTGAGTTGAGCGGTTTCATTACATGACCATAGAAAAGGCCTGCAAATCTTTTGCAAACAATGCTTTACCGACACAGCAGAAGGGCATATTTTACCGTGCAGCGCGTACGTACCATGTCATCCGTAATAGACAGAAGAGAGAAAGAATCAAAGTCCTCAGTTTTAATTTCTTTGTTGTGTAGGTAATAGAGAAGAACCCCGGAGGTTGGTGGTATGTGCAGATTGGAGAGATGGAGGGATGGGCACCATGCTCCTACATCGACAAACGCAAGAAGCCCAACCTCAGCCGTCGAACCAGCACCCTGACCAGGCCCAAAGTCCCACCCCCGGCCCCGCCTGTGAAAAAGCATGATTCTGAGGAGACTCCTCCTCCTAACACGTCCACTCCTAAAGTAACAGATTCTGTCAAAAGATCTGTGTATGAGGAACCTGAATATGATGTTCCAGCAGTTGGCTGTGAAGGTGAATCGGATACAGATTCTTTCAAAGGTGAACGTTCCTTGGATGTTAAAATTAGTAATGTAGTCAGCAACAAGTATCGCAGTTCCCCTCCCTCAAGTAAAACTTCCCCTCTTGTGTGCAAAAAATCACCAGTTTTCGCCCATCGAAGGGCCTCCTTCCGATCTGTCGAAGAAGTTGCTAAAGAGGAACGAATCTATGAAAATGATCGCTTTCAATCTAGTGGTGGTACAGAAGAAAAAACGGCAGAAGCGGCCAGCGAGCCTGACTTTCCAAGGACGTACCATTCCTCTACAGTTCCACGCAAACCCTCTGGATCTTCACCGTTGCCTGGTCACCCCACAAAAACAATGACCCCAGAGATGAATAGAAGAAGCCAGACTCTTGGTAGACAAACAGACATTCACTTCCGGTCCCAGGAGAACAGTCCCCATTCCTCGTCAGACGGATTGAATCGAGGTTCCAAGAAATGCACGAGCATTAGCCGGGATGTGGAGCAGAGAATAGGTCAGAGCCCGTCTACCAGACCGAAGCCTTCTGTCAGACCTAAACCACTCCTTATGAAATCAGAGCCTCAGAGTCCTGAGAGGATGGATATCAGTTCCTTAAGACGCCAATTGAAGCCCACAAGTCAGTTACGACACGGACACAAGACTTCTCGAGGAGAAGACTCGGATACTGCCTCTGTAATATCATCAGGGGAATCTGTGTGTTCACGCAGTACCTCAGATCTTTCAACCGTTTACTCCAAAGGTAGCTATGGAGACTCTGACGTAGAGGGATCCTGCCTGTACCGCTCCCTGGATGCATACAAGAAAGTCCAAGAATCAGAGATCAGCTTTCCAGCTGGGGTGGAAGTGGAGGTTCAGGAGAAGCAAGAGAGTGGCTGGTGGTATGTGCGCTGGGGTTCTGAGGAGGGTTGGGCACCCTCATACTTTTTGGAACCTGTCAAGCGAGTGGGTGATGCTGCGAGGCGAGAATCAGATGGACACGGCAGTAAGTCCGATAGCCTTGAGAAAAACGAAAAGCACGTCATGGATCTAAATAACGTCAATCTTCAGGGTCTGACCCAGCAGCATCAAGGCTTGAGAAGGAACACGCCACCAATTCCTTCAAAGCCTCCCGGTGGCTTCACCAAGCCATCCGGGATAGTCAATGGAAGTGTGCGGATGAGGAATGGGGTACGCCAAGTGGCAGTGAGGCCCCAGTCTGTATTTGTAACGTCAACGCAGCCGGCAAAGGATACACATTACATGACGGGTTCTCTGAGACGGAATGACTCTCTTGGCAGGAGTGATCGCTATAGCTCAGGTTCTGCCACACTTGGTGTCCACCGAAATGCCTCCTTCAGCACAGTGCGCCCCCACGTGGTTGTTGAAAGTCAGACGCGACCTGCCGAGCGCCCGAACCTCGGCTCCTCGGTGAGCGGATTCAGTTCAAGCAATGTCCCGGATCCCCTTGGCAGATTTAGCCAGCGCAACGGTATCCCCGTGTCCACAGTCCGTCCCAAACCCGTAGAGAAGAGCCAGCTGATCAAAAATAACCTCGGCAGGGATGTGTACGTGTCCATCGCCGATTACCGCGGTGACGAAGAGACGATGGGCTTCACCGAGGGCACCTGTCTGGAGGTCTTGGAGAGAAACCCCAACGGTTGGTGGTACTGCCAGGTGCAGGACAGCCTGCTTCCCCGTAAAGGCTGGGTCCCGTCCAACTACCTTGAGCGCAAGAAATAATGGCCACCCATATTCACTTCACTAACACCTTTTTGATGTCCCCGAGGAAGTGGGTGATGTCACCCCTCAAGAATGTTACCCACCGTCTCCTACAAGCAATACGTCCTTGACAATGGCCACTTAAAGAGAAAAGACTGTGTGATCTGAGATGGAAGGACACATTAAGTGCTGGCTTACTAAAATATATACAAAGAGGATTGTGAAGTATTTATTCGCAAGCAACGGATTGGTCATATTTACCAGGACCACCTTAAATAGATGGTACGAAAAGGGGTTTTCTATATTTCCATCACAGGCTGTGATGGTTAAGTGCCTTTTGTATTTCACCTGAATGGAAATATTAAATGGTGGATGGCAAACTGTAACACCAACCAAATATTTGAAATGTGCCATACTTCTTTGAACACCACCACTTAGTGGCTCCGACATCAAGTTGAAACGGCCATTTTGGATCTGGGGGCTCGTATGGAAGACGGACACGTTTGATTGGCTGAGAATTATGTCACTTCAAATTCTATTAATCAAGCAAAGAGGAATCTCTTATTTGTTGGTGTTATTTTGTGTTTGTCTTGAATATCTCTTGGGTTGATGTCTTCTTTAGATAATTATTTCTGCTCTCTTGTGACATCTTTGAACCGCCAAATGCTTTATGTTACAAAAGTAAAAGCTCTTTTAATGTTCTACCATTTGAAGCGACACTTACAAAACACACAACAGTCGAATTAGTGGCAAAGTATCGTGTTGTCAATAATCAGTTGCATTTTTATGCCAAATGTAGCGCCAGGTAAAACAAACATCCAATATATAAAAGTTCAAATGAGTAAATGAGTTATAAATCGTTTCCAAAGTGATTAATAGTTTCTTTCACTGCACTGTAGTTGTCATCTTTCACAAGATTGTACTGCCGTTGTGCGAATGGATTACTTAAGGACCGGAAAGGCCGGGAAATAATTAATTTCCAGGAACATACCGTATATATGCCCTTGCACTGCATTTAGCCCAAATATGTGTGCACACATTTTCTGTATTTATGGTACGACTAATCCAAAGCGTTCCACAAAGTACGTAGAATAAAGTTACTGAACTGAAAAACACGAAAACCAGGAACAACTAGATAATGACAGTACAATGTGAAGTAGTCGGCGATGGAGGCAAGAATTGACATCACTGACGACCCTAAACACTGTGCCTCGACACATCTAGTTGACATTACTTGCCTCAAAGTGCTTTAATGCAGACTCTTTCATTTTCAGTGAGTGTGTGACGTCCCCTCCACCCCCGCCCCATATTGAACAGATATGTAGAGCTTAAAGTGAATTCATCTTTTTCCCCAAAATTGAGTCTGAGAAGTCAGAATGCCTTCCTTAATTTCTTTTTTGTAATGTAATCATAAATCCATGTATTAATCGAGAAATTACAATTTGCTTGATTCTTGCTTTCTGAAAAATAATGCTTTATAATCATATTTGAAAATTAAAATATCATTATGATTTAACAGTTTCTACATATTGGTGTATTAACTATTGCAGAAACAAAAAACAAAACTTTGCCAAAACTATTGCCGGTAATTGAGAGCCACTGTGCCGCGTGTCTTAATATCATAACATATTTGTTGAACACTGTCGTGTCTGAGCATATGGTATAAATGTTTTTTTTTGTTTTTATTACGGTAATAGCCCCCCCCGCACCCCCAACAACAACAACAAAAACACAGGAAAAAGATTTTCGTACGATACATTTTAAGAGTTTTTACAGCTCAAATGGCTGATGTTCAAGACTGCTGAAATACATTTTCTAATGAACAGGGCTAACTTTATTATTATTTGTTTTCTGCTGGACAGTATTACTTCAAAAAAGGTACCTACCTTATCTGCTAGATTGCAGTAATCTACTTTGGCAAAGCTATTTATATTTTAATTTAAATGTGACTGCACAATTACAGTCATGAGGAGTGAAGTGCTTCTGTTTTATTGATTGGTGCACTTTAAAACATGTTTTGCTGGGCATTAATTTGAAGATGCAGTGAACACTCAGCATAGTAGTTAGGATTATTAATCATTTCTATATTTATCACTCACAGTGGTCGACTGGTTAGCGCGTCGGCCTCACGGTGCAGAGGTGCAGCGTTCGATTCCGGCCCTGGCCTTCCTGTGAGGAGTTGGCATGTACTACCTGTGCCTGCGTGGTTTTCACTGGGTACTCCAGTTTCCTCCCCACATTCCAAAAACATGTATGATAGATTGATTGAACGCCCTAAAATTGGCCCTAGGTGTGATTGTGAACACAAATGGGTGTCTGTGTGTACCTTGCGAATTGGTTGGCCAACAATTCAGGGTGTCCCCTGCCTACTGCCCGAAGACAGCTGGAATAGACTCCAGCACGCCTGCGACCCTCGTGAAGATTCAGGGGTTCAGAGAATGGGCGCATGGATATTTCTCACCCCGAAATAACGCTTTGTCACAAGATTCCCTCTGTGAAAATTACTTCATTGTCCAGATGCAGTAAAATTGCAAAACCGAGGCCACCTGTGGCTATGAAAAGGAAACAAAGGACAAAAGATTTTATCTTGTAGACAACTTACAAGCCAGTCTACCCCAGTGCAATGAAAGATGCACTGCTTGTCAGCGAGTTAAAAAAAACAAATGAAACAATTGAATATCTTTTTTTTTTTTAACCGGGGCACAGCTAAAATGTTGGTAGTATTAGCCTTTTTTTTTTTCTTAAAAGTAGATTTTGTTTTTTTTCACCTGCTGTGCGCTGCACCTTCAACAAACCATGGGTACTTCCTTCATCTGTGCTGTGCTGTGTTTTACATAATGCCTGATTGAGGTCTATATTGTAAGCAGTTTCATATCGGTTTGACAATCAGCTTCACATGAAAATATGGAGTCAGGCATGTGAGTTGAAGAAGAAAAAAAGCTCCAAAATATTTGCACAGCTGCCAAAAGAATTGTATTGTGGCATGGAAGACTTGCTATTAATGAAAGAAAAAAAAAGTAAGTCATGGACCAATGATTCAAAACAGATCCTCTCTTGTCATAAAGCAGCATAACAAGACGAAGGCATTATGTAAATATGTGTCACTCGGAAAATGTTGCCTAAGTATTAGACAGTATATCATATTTTGTCTTTTTATATTTCGCTGAATTTACTTGGGTGATTGCAAGGGGATTGTCTTAGTTATACTTTACTCTCACCCTATAATCAGCCCAAGAGAAAATGTGCAATAGTCATTTGTGAAGGAAAAAGATTGCAGGTCAAGAAAAAAAACAAAACAAATATGAAAGTGATTACATGTTACATATTGGGTTTGAGTACAGTATTCCCTACCGAGCAACCATTTTTTTGGGGGGGGGGGGGCTTTTCCAATGCTTTCGAGGCTGTCATATCTGCATTTGTTGACAAGCGCAAACATGACAAAGCCTCACATTCTCATTGAACTCGAATCCATGCTCATTGGACCAAAGCGATTGTACGTGATGCCCTATATTCTTGTACCTTGGTGGATTTGACATAAATATTGTATGAGTCTTTGCTCATCGTTCCTGGAACAATCAGAAAGGCAAGACAGAATTCTACCCAATTTGCTTATGTTGCTGTCGTCATTGTTGCCATTTGGGTCTTCTTCACACATGGAGAGTTGCGGCAACCTCTTTGAGCGGTCACCTTTGTGCCTGAATGGAACTTTTCCTTGTGTGTTTCCTCCTCATCTTCATGGATGCCTCCATTGACATTTACAGATTTGATCCTAACCCGTCCTCATCGAATTGGATGTTGTTAGCGGCGGCACCTAACTCTCAAAATGTCTTTAACCAAATCAACTGAAAATGGCCTTCGGTGTAGTAAGGGGTATCCAAGACTGATATTGATTGCGTTCTGCTAAGGCTGAAGCCTAATTTAAAACTCAAGCTTTGTCACTCATGAGTCATGACATCGTTTTGGGCACATTGAATTTCTACAAATCACAACAACAAAGGTTTGGAGCTTAATGTTGTCACCTACTCGAGTGTAAGAATAACAAAGACATGCAGAAGGCCTGTAAAACAACACAAAAATGTACACGTGTGTGCATACAAATGACAGAATGGCACGGCAGACACTTGCACAGTCTATATATTGAAATTTTCCAGACTAAATGAGTTTCCCAATATATCCCTGAGATCGATCTGTCGAGACGGCACAGGTGTCGTTAGGTCTATTCCCGAGGCTCTCATTTTATTCAAAATGGATGACACTGTCAGGCATGAAGCACCTTCAAAACAAATCATTAGCTGCTGCTGTGGTAGATTTGATGTTCTGGCCACACGTTACTCTCCACTCCCTAATTGGCCTTTGACGCAATCAAGCCTTCTAGCCTGGCGCAGAATGATTCGGCAATTTGGTTGGGAGAAGTACATTTTAATGTTGGTTTAGCTCAGGGGTGCCCAAACTTTTTTGACAGAAGATCTACTTTTCGATGAACCAACCTCCTGCGTTCGACCCGCTACCGCGCGGGCGCACATACACACGTACTTACACACGCATGCCATGATGAGCAACAGCTTGACGCGGAGGCATTCGATGAACTTTTGCAGCCTGTTAACTATCATAGCTCACGCGTACAGTTTTAAAGTGCTTCTCTTGGCTCTCCAGATTCCCATTCACTGTCCGTGCCCTCGGTGAATTGTATGTGCAACAAACTCTGAATGAGAATAATGATAACGATAAAAGATACAGTGCGACAGCTCTGTTCACAGGTTGCTATTGCAGACTGCTGAGCGCTAACAACTTCCGGAGACGCAAATCACGTGGCACCGGAAGTTAAAGATGATCTGCTTTATTTATTTTTTAAATGCTTTTTGTGAAAGTGAGACTGTTAGGATGATTCAAGTGCAGTGTGCATTAACACAAAAATATTTTAATAACATGCACAGAGACGCACAAATGTTTGCCCCCCCCCCACCGACCCCACCCACCCCACCCCTCGCGAACGACTTGGGACCAGTCCACGAGCTACCGGTCGATCGCGATCGGCGTAATGGGCACCTGAAGATGAAGGTGTGAAGATTCATAGAATGCAGTCGAGTAGAGTTTTGGCAATAGCATTTATATGAACAAGGTGGTAGAAGAAGCTCTTAGTACAGTAGTTGAAGTTTAATGCCACCTCTTGACAAGTTTAAAGTTGCTCACTGCTACTAACACATCAAATGTGGAAACACAGCACGGCGTTCATTGGTAGCTACTTTGGTGGCGCTGGCGTGACGTCAATGTCTCACAATTGACCCGTCACAGGCCAACAGTGCAACGTGTAGTTGAGTTAGACTGCGTCGGCTCCAGCTTCCTGGTGGAAAGGATCATGGAAAAGGAATTGGCCGATGGAGTTGTCATGGCAGCACTTATTCTCTCACCACAGAATAATTGAACAAGTGTGGAGTTCTGCAGGTGCGAGAATGTTGAGACCAAGGCTGAAATGGACTGATATCTCTTGCCGTAATTCGTAATTGTTGAAATGTCACCGCTCGGCACAGAAACGACCTGCAGTTCAGAAGCATATAGGCAGGGGGTCTTCACTATTGCACAATTTTGTTTACACGAAAAAAAGGGGCTTTTGGGGAAAATATCAAGCACGTTGCCTTTAAAAATTCCCCAAGCTCACATGATTCATCTCAGTGTGAAGTCCCAGTCTGACTCATTTGCTTTACCAGCGGCCCTCAGCAAGAGATGTGACGCAAGAAGCGCGCCGTCTTGAAAAATTAGGCTGGTTGCAGATTTCCACTCTCGAATTACAACAACAGCATGCAAAAGCTTGATCAACAAAGCACGGCATATTCCAGCAGGAATGCATTCCTTCATCGAGTAGAGTGGGGTGACCTTCGGCCTCTGGTACCATTAAGAGGCTCAGCGATATTTTAGGGTAAGAAGTGAGCTGTCAGATGTAACATTGAGTGGTCCCTGGGAAAGGTGGGCTATTGTTGCATTTGTAGAATAATAAAACTTAGTGATGACAAATAACTATAAATTCTGATGACATGCTCTAGCATGCAAGTTAACACATCTACCACCACCCTTGGCGTTGGACTCATTAGGTGCTTCTGTATTCTCGTTTTGTAGTTTCAAGCATAATTACTTTAAATTTTGGCTATTAAGTCTAAATGTACTCGTAAATGTCAATGAATCATCCAGGAGTGAGTCATCAGGCGACGAAACAACTTGATCTGTCTTGAAAATCTTGTAACCCTCTGATGAGGACTGAAATTAAATCGAAACAAACGTTGGCCCCTTGTGATTGGAAACGTTCTGCACTTGTGCAATCTTTTTGGAAATGCCATTTTCTTTTCTACCATTTCACTTTGACAAGTCATTTGCCTTTTTTTGGTATCTTGTACATGTTTACATTGTATCTTGCATTGCCCAGAACAAGATTAAATGTGTTTTCTTGGTTGTATTTGTTTTTTGGGGTTCTGGGGTGGGTAGTAGGAGCCACATTGTCTGCATGGTAAATTAATATGTTTTATGAGACCACAGATTTCAAAGAGCTGTATCCGGGCAGCAGGCAAGGTGCACCCTGAACTGGTTGCCAGCCAATCGCAGAGCACACAGAGACAAACAACCATTCGCGCTCACAATCACATCTCAAGACAATTCAGAGTGCTCATTTGGAGTGCTCAATTGACTTACCATGTGTGTCTTTGGATTGTGGGAGGAAATCGCAGTACCCGCAGAAAAGCCACGCAGGCATGCAGACAACGTACAAAGTCGACACAGGAAGACCGCAGTCCGACTAGAAACCCGGGACTTCCGCACTGCGTGGCGGAAGTGCTAAACAGTGAGCAACTGTGCCCCTTACGCCAAAATCTGATGTCTCTTTTCGAGTGGAGGCTGCCTTGACCGCATGATAATTGAGGAGATACATGATTGTCGCTCTTCTGCATGTGTTACGAGTTCGACAGTGCCTTGCAATTACAGATCCAATCCAAATTTTAAACATAAAGTTTATTAGACAAGGTCGCACGGTATACATGCGAATAAAGAGAGGGAGCACCCGCAACGCGAGGATCAAGAATAACTCAAAGCAGCATGA